TTTGGGGGCCCCCTTGTTGGGGGCCCCCAAACAGCCAAATCCCTTTGTGGGGGCCCCTTGGGCCCCAAAGCCCGGCTTCAGTATCCTAAAGAGAAGGGCCAGAGGGGCCAGGGGGCCCCCTTTTAAATAAAGTTTTAGTTTAATTTATTCAGCGCCGCTGGGCTGCCCAGCGCCTGCGGCTCTTCGTTGAAGGAAGCCCCATAGAGCGCTGCTTGTAACTCTTCCGGGGCCTCCAGCGAAAGAGGAGGGGGGCCCCCCCTGGGCCCTCGGGGGGCCCCTGGGCTGGGGGCCCCTGCTCGATCCGGTGGGGGGCCCTTGCAGGGGGCCCCCCCGGGGGGCCCCAGCAGATCGGCAGCAGCCCAGGGGCGAAGGTCAGGCCCAAGGGGGGCCCCCCTGTACCCACTGCCGGCTGCAGCCAAGAGTAGGGCCTGGGGGAGGGGCCCCTGGGAGGGCCACAGCCAGAAAGGCCCGCGGGCTCTTCACGAAGGGGGCCCCCCGGGCTTCCTGGGAACTGCTGCTGCTGCAGCAACGAAGGACCAGCCGGGGGGCCCTCAGTGCAGCTCAAGAGGCCCTTGGGGGGCCCCAGATGAGGTGCCAGAGGCTGCTGCAAGAGAGGGGAGTGGGGCCGCAAGCGGGGAAGTCCGGCCGAAGCTGAACTGCAGCAAACGGGTGCCAGCGACAGCCACTTGGAGGGCCCCCCCGCCCTTGCGAGCGCCGCCAGAGGGAGCGACATGTGCCCCCGTTTCTCCTCTTTAAGGAAAAAATAAAGTTAAATTCAAAAATGATTTAAACTTGGCCGGGAGAAGGCCCCATTGGCGCATCGCTGCAGCCGAGAACGGGGCCTCGAGCCCCGTGCTCTCTAGTGACCAGTAAGTAGTGTTGCAAGTACTGCATGCGGGCGATCTGGGTTTCTAGGATGCCAGTAGCAGCAAAAAAAGAGGCTTAAAAGAATAAAAATAAATGGCTTTTTAATCTACAAGTAAGCGGTGAAGTGTCGCTGTTAAGGACTCGAAGTGAAGGAAGATCCGTCGGCGATGCTGTTCATCTGTAACAGAAATCTGAACTGGAAAGATGCGGCGAAAGCAGCTTGTGTTGATTTCGATTCATCCTAAAAGTCCATTCAAAGAAATTATTTCAAAGACACAGCGATAAAGTGAACATTACTGTTCAATTCCGGGCCAAAGGCGAGTTGAATCTGCTTTTTTGAAGGAAAAAGAGGCACAAATGCGCAAATGGCAAAACAGCAGAATCCCAAAAAGTGCAGAATAATAAAAGTGAGGCGTCGGGGTGTCGCGGAGTGGCGTGGGGTGTACAGACACCTGAGATTCGGGGCGTCGGTGGCTGCTGGGTGGGCATCTTGAGTTGAACTTTGTGTTTTTCGGCGCGAAAAATTTGAACTGGGAAATAAAAGGAAAACAAAAGGAATTAAATTGATATTTTGCATTTATTTGTCGGACTTTTGGGGAATTCGCAGGCGAAGTTGCTGCTTCGGAATTCCCATTTGCCGTTCGGCGCGCGTTGGGGTGCAGCAGCAGCAGCAGCAGCAGCAACGCGGTGCAGCGGCAGGCACATTACGTACCAATCTTTCGCCTTTTACTAAAGATTGCCGTGTGTCTGCCGCATCGAAATGCATCTTAGGCCTATTTTTGGGGCGCTTCGGCGCCAACAGATCTCCCCAAGTCAGCTGCTGCTGTGTTCTGTCTTCTGCTGCTTTCCTTCACTGCTGCTGCTCTCTGCTGCTAAGACCTGTCTTAAGTTTTGCACCTGCTTTCTGCTGTTGCTGACTGCTCGCTGTCCAGGTTTTGCTGCTGCTTCCTTTGCCTCTCCGCTGCTGCTGCTCGATGCTGCCGAAAGTCCGTGCGGATTTTTGCTGCTGCTTCCCTTTGGTGCTCTCTGCTGCTGGAGAGTTCATTAGCGGCGGTGTAGATACACACATGCATATATATTACGAAATGAATGCAATTATATATATAAGTATGTATTATAATATGTTTATTTATATTGTAAGTACATAAAGATGTATTTATATATATATATTGGAAGGTACTTTGTTTGCATTAGGCGTGCACACTGCTCGGTGTACGTACACCCGGCATGAAAATCGGTAGCAGCGAACAGAGAGTCTAATATGAGTAGCAGCAGACAGCTGAGGGATATGCAGCAGAAGCAGCAGCAGCAGCAGCAGCATGGAGAAGCAGGAAGTGGGGAGTTGAGAGGGAAGCCCGGGCTGTGTGGGCTGCAGCATATAAAAGGCAATTTTGGAAAAAGAAATAATCCAAATTTGCTGCGAAATTCGGAAACTTCTGTTAACTATTTGTTGCTGCTGCCGCTGCTGCTGCACAGGACCGCAGCTGTGCATCCTCTTGTCTCGGGGTTTTTTGCTTTCTGTATGCACCCGCTAGGGTTTAGGGTTTATCTCTAGGGTTTAGAGACACCAGCTAGGGTTTAGGGTTTAGCCCTAGGGTTTACAGACTCCAGCTAGGGTTTACCTTTCTGGCTCTGGGGGGTCCTTTAAGGGAGTTATTTTTAGGGTTTAGGGTTTAGGGTTTAGGGTTTGTAAAGAGTTGGGGTTTGTAAACACTGGGGCGAGTCAGCGTGAGGGTTTATCGAGGGTTTGTGGCGCGAAGTAGGGTTTAGGGTTTACGGTCACTCCTAGGGCTTAGGTCAGCAGCGCTATAGCTTAAGTCTCTAGATCAAGTCTAGAGTTTGAAACCACTAATTAGGGTTTAGGTAGGTCCTAGGGTTTGTATGTGGAAGTACTGTTTTGCTCTCTAGTTCGGGCAGTTGCTGCTGCAGCACTGCTGCTGTGCTGCTGCTGCTGCGCTGCGCTGCTTCTGTTGCTCTGCCGCTGCTGCTACTGTGTTGCCGCTACTGTGTTGCTGCTGCTGCGCTGCTGCTGCTGTGCTGCTGCTGCAGCAAGCAATCCGCAGCCAGCTTTTAAGCGGCGGAGCTGCAGGGTCCCAGGCGGCCGGGGTGTACTGACAGCAGCCTCTGCAGCAGCAGCAAGCAGCTGCAGCAGCAGGAGTGAATTTAATATTTAATGTTTTGTGTCTACTCGTTTGAGTGTCTTTATGCGTTGGGGTGTCTAGACAGCTGTTGATTTCCGCGCAGTTTTGCTGCTGCTGCGCCCCTGAAGCAGCAGAGGTAGCAGACACGGCGTAAGAAGGACCAATGGTGCTGCTGCTGCTGCTGCTGCTGCTGCACCCAGGCCTTCCCGTCTTGCTGCAGCAAACTAGCGGAATATTTGACAAAATAACGCTAAGAAATATCAAATTAAATACCAAAAAGAACAAGAGCGCGTCTGGCAGCGGCAGCTCGGTGCCGCAGCAGCAGCAGCTGCTGCAACCAACCCCACAGGGCCGCCCTGCTGCTGCCCTGCAGCAGCAGATTGCTGCTCGTTTGTTCTCCTTTCTGTGCTTTTTCCAGATGAGCCCTTTCTCGTCTGTTAATCCGTTTTGAAAGCTTTTGCTGCTGCGTTAGAGACGACTGCAGACTGCAGCGGTCGCAGCAGCAGCAGCAGCAGCAGCAGCGGCAGCAGCAGCAGCAGCAACACCAGCGCACACTCTATTGGGTTTTCCGCAGCTTCTTTGTCACTTCTTGTCCCTCCCCTCACAGCGTTTCGGCGGCCGACCACCATTGTAGACCCTAAGCCCTAAGCCCGAAACCCTAAACCCTAAACCCTAAACCCTAAACCCTAAACCCTAAACCCTAAACCCTCCCGCGGGAGCCGCCTCCGGCCCGCGCCATATCTCTGCCCGCCTTTGTCTGTAGACGCTGGGCTTCGGACCCAGGGAGTGCAGCAACACTTCAGCAGCAACAGCAGCAGCAGCAGCAGCAGCAGCAGCAACAGCAGCGACACGAGCAGCACGAGCAGCAGCAGCAACAACAACAGCAGCGCAGCGGGAGACACTGGGTGTGTTTTTCGCTGCACTTCCTCTTTGCTGACCCTGCTGCTGCTCCTGCTGCTACACGTTCTCCGTTTCCCGCTGCAGAAAGTGCTGCTGCTGCTGCTGCTTTTGCTGCTGCTCCTTGTAGTACTGGTGCTGTGGCTGGGGCTGCGGCTGGGGGTTCCTGCTGCACTGCTGCTTATGCTACTACTATGTCTCGTGCTTCTGCCTTGTCGTGTTCTGCTGTTATTTGCTGTGCTGCTGTTGCTGCTGCTGAATTGTCAGTTGCTGCTGCTAAATTGGCAGTTGCAGCTGCTGCTGCTGTTGCCGCTGCTGAATTGGCAGTTGCTGCTGCTGCTGATGGTGCTGCTGTTTATCAGGTGCAGCAAAATACCGTTGCGTAGCGGCCAGAGCTTCTGCTGCTGCGGCGGCACCTGACAAGTAGAGGTGCCGAGCCGCCCTGCTGCTGCTGCTGCAGCAGCAGCAGCGGCTGCTCGTGCTGCTGCGGCTGAGGGCCCGCAACAACTGCTGCTGCGGCAGCATGAACCGGTTTACTGTCCACTATTGCCTCTGCCGAAGAGGCTGGTAGGGTCCTGGCTACAAATTTTGCCGCAGCACTTGCTGCTGCAGCAGCAGCAGCAACAGCAGCTGCTGCGGTGGCAGCAGCAGCAGCAACAGAGCCAGCAGCAGCAACAGCATCAGCAGCGAATTCGGCAGGAGAGGTCCCTCACCTCCACTCCCCTCTGGGGCACCTCAAGCCATGCACAGGCCAGGTCTGTTGCTGCTTGTTCTGCTGCTGGTGCTGCTGCAAATATTGCTGTTGCTGCTGCTGCAGCAAATCCTGCTGCTACTGCTGTCACTGCTGCTGCCGTCACTGATGCTGCCACCGTTTACCCAGAGGTATGACACCTGGCCTAGTTACTGTGCCAGTTGTCGGCTTAGGAGTAGCAGTTGCAGCGCATGAAGCAGCAGCAACAGCAGCAGCAGCAGCAGCTGAAGAAGGACTGGCAGCAGCTGCTGCCGCAGCTGCTGCAGCAACTGCCTGATGTAGAGTAGCAAACTCTCGAATGTTGCTGTTTTGGGCGTATCGGTCCTGCTGCCGCTGCGGCTGTTGCTGACGTCACTCTGGCTGCCGCTGCTCATGCTGCCCTTGCTGCTGCTGCTGCTGCTGCTGCTGCCGCTGCAGTGCTTGGCGGGGCCTGCTGCAGCTGCTTGTTGCTGCAGTTAGCTGCTGCTGGTCTGTGCTGGCGGTTGCTGCTGCCGTTGCTGCTGCATGCGGCGTCGCTTTTGACGGTGCGTTCGCTGCTGTGTTCTGTCTGTGGCTGCTGCTGCCTTTGCTGCTGCCGCTGCTGCTGCTGTGGAAGCAGGCCACCTCGCCTCCGCCGCCTTTCCCTCGAGAAGCAGCAGCAGCAGCAGCAGCAGAGCGTCGAAGCGCTCCTTTGCTGCCATGTGCGACTCCAGGGGCCGGGGGGGAGGCGGGGGGCCCCCGGGGGGCCCCCCTGAGGGCAGCAGCATTTATGAATTATTAAGCAGAGATGCAAGTTTGGTTTGCAAGAAGCAGCGGAAGGCAACAGCAAAGTTAGAAAGGACTTTGGACATGCTGGTGGATGCTCTCAAGGTAAAAGAACCAGAGCTCTGCTGCTGCTGCTGCTGCTGCCGCTGCTGCTGCTGCTGCTGCTGCCGCGGGGGCGCGGCGACCGCTGCAGAGTGAGTGCTGGGCAGCTGCTGCTCGTGTTGGTGCTGTTGCTGCTGCTGCTGCTGCTTCTGCTTTCGATGCGGCTGCTGGTAGCCACGGCTGCTGCTCCACGCACTGTAGTGGGAGTGCTTGGGGGCCCGTCGGGGATACTGCAATTGCTGCAGCTGCTGCAGCTACTGTCGCTACAAATTTTGCTGTTACTGCTGCTGCTGCTGCTGTTGCTGCTGCTGCTTTCCCAAATTCCGTAGCAATATGCACTCTTGAGTTGCTTCTGCTGCTGCTGCTGCTGTTGGTGCTGTTGGTGCTGGAAGGCCACGAGAAGAATTTTAGAGGCAGCTCAGGGGGCACCAAAGGGAGTTAGCAGCGGTAGCAGCGGTAGCAGCAGCAGCAGCAGCAGCAACAGCAGCAGCAGCAGCAGCAGTCATAGCGGCACAGTAACTGCTTCGTCCGCTGTAGAGCAACAACAGGAACAACAAAAGGGACAGCAGCAGGAACAGCAGCTGCAACGGCAGCAACAACAGGAACAGAAACAACGACAGCAGCAGCAGCAACAACGAAACCAGCAACCGGAAGACCAGCAGCAGCAGCAAGAGCAGCAACAACAGCAAGAGCAGCAGCAGGAGCAACGGCCACAGCAACAACAGCAGCAGCAACAACAACAACAGCAACAGGGAAAGGAATGCCAGCAACAGCAGCAGCCCAATAGCTCGCCAGCTGCAGCGCTGGAAGGGTCAGAAGCAGCAGCAGCAGCAGCAGCAGCGACAGCAGCAGCAGCAAAGGCGTCTGAGTCAGCTGTGCAGACAGCTATGACGACTCTGGGGGCGCAAATATCTCTTTTGGGTTTGGAGGAAGCAATTGGCCAAGCCCAAGAAGCTCCCTTTTTGCTGCTGCTGCAGCTGATAAAGAAAGCAGCAGCAGCATTTGCAGACGACATGCCGGCTGCCGCTGCTCACCTGCCTCCAGTGCAGCAACAGCTGACGCCGCTGCTCGCGCAGACGGCGGAGCCGCAGCCAGCGCAGCAGCAGCAGCAGCAGCGGCAGCAGCAGCAACAGCAGCAGCTGCTGCAGCAGAGGCGCCAGCAGCTCGCCCAGCTGCTGCAGCAGCAGCACAGTCACCCCGACCCCCGCCTACCGCAGCAGGTGCTTGCGGCTCTAAGGCAGGAGCTGCAGCAGCTGCTGCAGCTGGAGCAGCTTCAGTGGCAGCAGCAGCACGGCGAGGAGGAAGGTTCCCCAGCAGCAGCAGCAGCAACAGCAGCAACAGCAGCAGCAGCAAAGGACAATGCGGTCCGGGGCCCGCAGCTAATCATTGCCAAGCTTCTTGCGCTCCATTTCCTTCATCAGGGCCACTTCGCTCTCTACGATCTTTTATGGTGAGTGTTGCTGCTGCTGCTGCAGCTGCTACTGCTGCCTGTACTACTAGGGTTATTGCCGTCTGCGCTGCACCTGGTGTCCCTGCTGCTGGTGCTGCTTCTGTTGATCATGTTGGGATGCTGCTGCTGCTGCCTTCTGTGCTGCTTCTGACGTCACTGCTGCTGCTGCTCCTGGTTCTGCTACTGAGGTGCTGCTGCTGCTGCTGCACCATTTTCTGTCAGCTGCTCGTCGATGTGTGCAGTGAGGAGCTCGCCATGCAGCTGCCTGCTGCCAAAGCGCAGCAGCAGCGGCAGCAGCAGCAGAAGCAGGAGGCGGAGCAGCAGCAGAAGCAGCAGCAGCAGCAGCAGATCCGCGAGGAGCCTGATCGCGACGATTGTGAACCCCCGCCGAAGAAGAAATTGCAGCATCTAGATCGGGTGGTGCAGCACCTTGGGGATGTACAGCAGCAGCACCACCACCACCAGCAGGAGCAACAGCAGCAGCAGCAGCAGGAGCAACAGCAGCACCAGCTAAAGCAAGAGCGGCAGCAGCAGCAAAAGCAACAACAGATACAGTGTCCACCACAGGAGGCGGGAGCGGGGCTCTCTAATTCCCTCAAGGGGCCAAGCCCTCAAGAGGCTGTCAGCAGCAGCAGCAGCAGCAGCAGCAGCGTAGAGACTCGTTGCTCGAACGGATACTGTTTCTGTCTCCACTGTGGAGAGCGGTGTGGCACAGGCAGCAGCAGCAGCAGCAACAGCAGCAGCAGCAGCAGCAGGCCCCACCCACCACAGCTGCTGCCCTGCGCAGTAGTTGCTGCCTACAAAAGGATGCATTACGTGGGTGCAGGAGCTGCTGCTGCTGTTGCTGCTGCCACTGCTGCGTTTGCCGCTGCTGGCCAGTCGCTTTGCTGCTGGAGGTGCTGCTGCTGCTTCTTGGCGCTGTTGCTGCTTCTTGGCGCGTGGCAGCTGGGCAGTTGCATGTTAGACTTCCACGCTGCTGTTCCATTTGATGCTGCTGCATTTACAGCGGCTGCTGCTGCGTTTGCTGCCGCTGCATATGCTGCTGCTGCATTTGCAGCGGCTGCTGCTGCGTTTGCTGCTGCTGCTTATGCTGCTGCTGCTGCGTGGCAGTGTTACTTTCTTCATTTTTTTTTCCTGGCCTGTAGGGAGGCTCGGCGTTCGCGCTGTTGCTGCTGCTGCTGCTGCTGCTGTGGCTGTTGCTGCTGTTCCTGCCCTCTTTTTCCGCGTGCTGCTGCTGCTACTGCTGCTGCTACTGCTGCTGCTGCAGGTGCTGAACTCGCTGCGAGAGGCTCGGCTAGAGCAGCTGCTGCGGTGGGGTGCCCTGCCACCGACAGAAGCAGAGGCGCTGCAGCAGGAGCAGCAAAAGAAGAAGCAGCAGGAGCAGCTGCTGCTGCAGCTGTCGCCGCCGAGCGCCGAAACGCCCGCCGCAGCCGCAGCAGCAGCAGCGGCAGAGACAAGCGGCTGCTGCTGCTTCCGCAGCAGCTGCTGGAAGCAGCAGGGAGTTGATGCCGCTCTTAGCTGGGTTTATTCTTTAAGTCAAAAGACAAGAAAGAAACACGAAAGACTTGAATTCATGCTGCACAAACTCAAGGTAATAAACCCTCAACAAGCTCTAAACCACAAACCCTAATCCCTAGACCCTACACCCTACGCAGCAAGGGCCTCGAGACGCTTCTTTCCAGGCGGCTTGAAAATAAAAGGAAACAAAGAGCAGCAGCAGCAGCAGCAGCAGCAATAGCAGCTAAATCAGCAGCAGCAGCGTTGGGGAGCTGTAGTGGTGCTTGTCTGTGCTAGTGTTGCGGTCTCTGTCTTTGCTGCTGCTACTTTTGTTGCTGCTACCTTTGCTGCTGCTGCCTTTTCTGCTGCTTCCGCTGCTGCTGGAATCTCGTACTGCTTGGTTTACTTCAGATTTGGTGCGTCCTGAAGCCAATCTCACATCTCCTTCGCTGCTGCTGCTGCTGCTACTGCTACTGCTGCCACTACTGCTGCTGCTGCTGCTGCTGCAGTTCTTCACTTTGCTGTCGCCTTCCACTGAGGGCGAGGCCCTGGCCTACTGCCGCAGCTACTTAATGCCTTTTTGGGGAAAACACAAAAAGGAAATATCGAAGGCCATGGGCATTGTGGCAT